AAAAAAAAAAACCAACTAACATTAATAAAGCATTTTAGCCCTTCCTGTAGTCCTGTGGGAGCCCTAGTGGTGCAATGGTTAAGAGCTATAGCTGCTAACCAAAAGGTCAGCAGTTGGAATCCACCAGCCACTCCGGAGAAACCCTGTGGGGCAGTTCTACTCTGTGCTATATGGTCACTATGAGTCAGAATCAGCTCAATGGCAATGGGTTTGGTTTGGTAGTCCTATGAAGCAGGCATTATTGTTCCCCTTTAAGACTGGGGTAAACAGAACCCAGAAAGGCCAGAGCTGGGAGGTAGCAGAGCGGCCCATGTGAGCTCGGGTCTTCTGATTCCAAACCTAGGGCCTTTTCCTCTACCAAAGATTCCTCTTAAACATCTAACTAGTTCCTCCTCTTGCTTCCCTATTGCTGATAACGACACCATCCTTCCAGTCTCCCGAGCTTAACCCTCTCATCATCCCATCCTGCTGATTCCAGCTTTATATTTTGTCCTTCTTTCCCTTGTCGCTGCTTATCTACCCTTTTTACCAATCCCACTGCCACCAGCCGGATTCAGAACGGCCACACAGACTCCTAACTGATCTTAACTAACCCAGTCTCGCATAGACGCACACGCTGAAGCTCCTAAATAAAGCACAGCTCAACACTGTCATGTCCAAGTCAAAGCCTCTGAATGGCTCCCCAGGCCTAGCAGTGTTCAGTCCCAATTCCTTAAGGGTCTCTCCCCTTTATTACATACTCTCTCCTAGCTCTCCCCTTCCAAGCTTTGTCACAGTGCCAATTGGGCCATTCACCATCCCCCATGTTCCCTACACTCATCCAACTCTGAACTTCCGTTCATGTGTTTCCATCTCCAGAATGCCATCAGCACATCTCCACCTGTCTAACTCCTACCATTCTGCTCAGAACCCTCACAAATGTTTCTATTTCCCTATGGCATTTACCACCTACTACCTTGTGGAATCCCTTGGTGGTGTCAATGGTTAATGTGCTCAGCTACTAAATAAAAGTATGGAGGTTTGAATCCACCCAGAGGCACCTTGGAAGAAATCAGCCACTGAAAACCCTATGGAGCACAGTCCTACTCTGACACGCACGGGGTCGCCATAAGTCGGAATCGACTTGATTGCAACTGGTATCTACCTTTTGGAATGATTTGGATACATGCCCCCCCCCCCCAATATGCACACTATATATAAGCAACTGGAGGATAAGGACCATATCTCATACATCCCCTGCATGCCCCACAAGGGGTACCTTTCCTATATTAAGTCCTCGAATGTTTGCAAAATGTAAAACAAATGAAAAATTAGGTAACAGTTGGGCTGAGGAGTTTCTAAATGCCTGGGTAACTGAGCACTGAAAACCTTCTGGGTTAGAAAAGGAACTGTTGGAAGTGTTCCTAAGAGGAGGTCCGCTAACCCTATCATTCTTGCCGGACTCCTGATTCTATCGAATCTCACTGCTTCTGCTACAATGAAAAGCAGTGCTTTCAGGTCCTGTTCCACATTAAGGGGCAATCACCAATGTCACCTTGTCCACCCAGGGTTCCCAGAAAATGTCATCAATAACATTACCCTTCTCCAGCGTGCATCACATTCCTTACTTTGTAGCGGGGGAGACAAAGGTCAGGGAGAAGAGCTGCAGAGGTCCAATCACTAAAGGCCACATATTCAGCCACGCCCAAATCTAATCAGAATTCCATCCTGCCATCTGATTTACCCACCCTATATGTACTCTCCTGAGCAACATGTTGCGTAGACTCCCCATAATGTTTAGGATCAAAGTCTAAACTCTTTGGCATGGCACTCAAGGACTCTCAGGATCTGGGCCCTGCCTACTTATCCAACCTTTCCTCCTCTCACCCTACTTCACACTCTATACTCCTACCTTACTGAACTACTTCTGGTCTACCAAATACTGCACAATCTCCAATGGCTCCATGCCTCTGAGCATGGGATTTTCCCTACTCATTCACTCCTGCCTCCACTTACCTGGAAAACTCCTACTCGTCCTTCAGGATCAACTCAAAGTGCACCTCCCCTTTGAAGCCTTTCCTGATTCCCCTACAAAGACTCAACACTCCCCCATGTTCCCTGAACTTTTAGCACAGGATCTGGCTCTTAAAAAGTCATGACTTAGTATCTGTGGACTGAAAAAGGTTGTTTTTGAAAGAAATCTCATGGTAAATCAACTATAACTTGGGATCCTTAAAAAACTACTACCACAACTACTAGTAGTAGCTAACATTTTTACAGTGCTTACTATATGCCAAGTGCTTTCCTTGAATTCTCATTTAATCTTCACTATTATACCAGGAGGTATATCAAGAGGGACCAGTCCCTGGAAAAGGACATCATGCTTGGTAAAATAGAGGGTCAGTGAAAAAGAGGAAGACCCTCAATAAGATGGACTGACACAGTAGCTGCAACAATGGGCTCAAACACAACAACGACCGTGAGGATGGCACAGGAGCAGGCAGTGTTTCGTTCTCTTGTACATAGGGTCGCTATGAGTCAGAACCAACTTGACGGCACCTAACAAACAAAAAAATTATACCATGGGATAGATTCTGTTACTATCCCCATTTTATGATGAGGAAAAAAGCCAATAGGCAAACCCAGACCTGCCAGGCTCTAGACCCCAAACTAACTACTATACCATATTGCTTCCTTTTAAAACATCCATCTTAAATTAACGTATTCTTAAAGGACAAATTCCTCTGCATTGCTTAGAATTTTTTAATGCCTAATTTATCCACACAAAATTTCTCTGAGATAGGGTGGGGAAGGATGTCATTATCCCCATTTTACCGGTGAAGGAAGTGATAAAGAGAGGTAAAGCACCAAAGACACACAGGAAGACAGTGATGAAGCTGACTCTTATGGGCCACCTAGTTTAGTCCTCTGAGGTTTAACTTGTTTAACTAGTTATGGTCTCCTTCTACCTCTAAAGAATTCCAGCAGGAAGGAGTCACTACCAATCTAATAGCTTCCAACTGGTAGATATAAGGATAAAGCTTGGGTGTGTAGATGTGTTAATGAATGTTTGCCATCTTCTTGCGCTTTATCATGGAAGGTTAATTAGCTGTGATTGCCAAGGCATGGTAAAATTCACCAAGAGTCCACATTAAAGGGTAAGGGGGAAGAGAAGGCCTTAAGAACCTGGGTCTTCAAAGAACAGTCCTAACACTTGTTAAGATTGATCTATATGTGGTTCCTTAAATTCTACAACTTAAGACTACAAATTAAATTCAAATTCTATAAATTAAGCAAAGAATACTAAATATATCATGGGCTGCCAGAAGAACAAACAAATCTCTCTTGGAAGAAGTACAGCCAGAATGCTCCTTTGAAGCAAGGATGGCAAGACTTTGTCTCATGTACTTTGGACATGTTATCAGAAGGGACCAGTCCCTGGAGAAGGACATCATGCTTCGTAAAGTAGAGGGTCAGCAAAGGAGAGGAAGACCCTCAATAAGATGAATCGACACAGTGGCTGCAATAATAGACTCAAACATAGCAACGATTGGGAGGATGGTGCAGGACCAGGCAGCATTTCATTCTGTTATACATAGGGTCGCTACATGTCAGAACCAACTGGACGGCATCTAACAACAACAAAATCTGCAAACATGAAGTGATCCTACTACAGCAGGACAGATGTGTACTTGACATAAAAGCTTTCAAAAGGTCATCAATGATCTCCCAGTCACCAAGCAGAATGGCTTTTTCTTACACTGACTTTGCTGTGTCTCTTAGCACTTGATGATGCTGACCAACTCCCTCCTTCTCTTGACATGCAACATCCTGGATTGCCTATCTCTCTGACCATGCCTTCTTTCACGTGATAAGACTCTACATTGGGGAGGTGGCAGCAAGTGTAAAGGGAAGGATAGATATAAGAGACATTTCAAAGGAAGGCAAGGTAGTACTTGTGAGATCTAACCACTCTTGTCTGTGTCACTCTTGTAGCATTTCCAAGTATAGTATTTGTGTGTATGCCATCTTCCTTGGGGCAGGGACCAGGTTTTAAGTATCCAAAAGTGCTCTGTAATAGTATCCAACTCTTAAAAGATACTTAATAGATGTCTGTCAAATGAGTTAAGGAATGATTCTGAAATTTCATCAGTCTTAAACTCAAACTACAAGAGAATACTACCTGCCTTTGCGAAGCCTACATTCAGCAAAGAAAACTGGTCCTTTCGTGATGCATTGAGGCCTGTCCTGGGCTTCCTGCAAAGATGACAGTCAAGTGCCAGTACAGGCTGGATTCAGAATTGTTAACAATCCTGGCTGCCATTTCAGCAAAGATAATGGCATAATGAGGATAAGAGTAAGCAGAACTTGTATTGAGGGTGTAAACTGGGAGCGACCATAAAAAAGGCCCACAATAGAATCTGAGATTATGTCACAGGGGCTGCCTACCTCTAAAACAGTGGGCCTCATTAAAATGAAATAAGCAGATTGGAGAAAGTAACTGGTCCCTTCCAGAATCGTAACAAGCCTACACGCCTGACCAGATCTAACAGGGAGAGAGGAGAACCTCTGTTATCACAGCCATCCACACTGAACGGTCAGTGTGGTCTGGGGCAAGGTAGCCTAAGGAGAAGAATGTGGCCTTCCTTTCTTTACTGTCATCAAGAAGAATCGCAGAGGTGTCTCCTAAGCAGGAAATAAGTAGCAATGGGATCTCTAAACAGGGCTTGGAGGGGAAGACCTGGAGCTGCCAGGGTAGGCTTAATTCTAGAACTAACTGTAACTTGCTGTTACCTTGGACAAGAAGTTTCCTTGTGCTATATCTCCCTTCATGCAAATGGGAGTACCAGAGATAAAAAAAGGAAGCACCTGTAAAATCGCTTGGAAAGTGATTCTTTAAAGTCAAGCATATTAGGATCACTAAGGTGGGAATCAACATTATCACTCTGTACTTTCCATCCTCCCAAATAGTTCTGGGACACTAAAGAATCACTGCAACTGAGATCTATGAGCAAGAAAGTTTATAAAGTGGGAAAAGTTTATAAAGTGCTCTAAGTAATTTTTTAAAACAAAGTGAAAGGAAAACTATGCTCACCTGATCCCTGCCCAATGACATATATGGTCTCTCCGCATCCCTCGTCCATCCTCTCCCACATCTGCCGAAGTAGGCTGTCATACTGCTCTGATGTAGGGCTCACTAGAACCAGCTAGAAGAGAAACCAACAGCCTTAGGATAACACTTACTAGCAGAGCACCACAGCCAAAGCTGACAAGTAGCCTAACTGAAGACCCTGACTGAAACCCACAGCCCCCCAACCTAAAACAGATACCCAGCCCCCACAAGGTATCTCACCACTCCTCAAATAGCCTTTGAGCCTAAAGCCTTATATGCGCTATACGATGTACTAAAATGAGTACTGCCTGAGCCACAACCCACAGAAAAGAGGGTTTGAGCAGCCTGCTTCCTGCTGCTTAACACATCATGGGGCAGGACACAGGATGGATGACTGAGAATCTGGTGCTGTGGGTAGAAATTCATAAGCAGTGTTTTATTCTTACATGCCAAGGTCTTCCATCTGCAGCTTGCATCTGGAAACTCACATACTGCCATGCCCTCCACCCACAGGCCAATCACTCCAGCAATAACAAAATAATTCCCTTCCATCTGGCTGTGGCTATCTTATTTGGAAATGAGCAGTAAAAATTTATCTTAGCAAGACTTATCTTCATCAACCAAACACCATCACCACTAGGGGGGATTAGCACCATCATTTTGCAAATTTCTGCCAATCACATTAAAGTATCAACCACATTAGGCCGGGGGGAGCATATTCTTATAGGCGTGTGAGATTCCATTCTCTGACCACTCATGTGTGACCTTGGAGAAAGAACTTAACCTGAGTCTCAGTTTTTCAATCTACAAACAGAGATAATACTACCTACCTCCTAAAGCCACTGTAAAGGCAGAATAAGATAACATGTAAGTCATCTAGTCCATAGCTCAATAAGTGGTAATTACAAAGTTTTCTTCACCCAATCATTCCTAGAAAAACCTTCTAATTTTCTTGGATTAGACTAACCACCCTAGTCCACTGTTTCTCCTTTTCAAAGCTCTCAGAGCCTTACCACCCCACCGCTGTTGAGTCTGACTCATAGTGACCCTACAGGACAGAGAAGAACTGCCCCATAGGGTTTCCAAGGCTGTAATCTTTACTGAAGCAGACTGCCACATCTTTCTCCTGTGGAGCAGCTGTTGGGTTCGAACCACCGACCTTTCAGTTAGCAGCCAAGCTCTTAACCACTGTGCCATCAGGACTCTTCCTCATAGCCTTAGGTCCCCACATTTAATTATAGCAAGTATACAAACTATAGCTTCTAATCTTTTCCTCAGGAATGAATTTACTCAACCCACCCTTCTCTCCTTCCACAACCTCAGCTGTTCTTATCAATATCATATAAAAAACCCACTGCCATCGAGTCAATTCTGACTCACAGAGACCCTGTAGGACAGAGCAGAACTGCCCCATAGGGTTTCCAAGGTTGTAACCTTTACCAAAGCAGACTGCCAGGTTTTTCCTCCTTCAGAGCAGCTGGTGGAACCGCTGACCTTTCCATTAGCAGCCAAGCGCTTAACCACTGCGCTACCAGGGCTCTGCATATATATATATAAACCAACCCAAAATCAAACTAATTTCCGTGGAGTCGATTCCAACTCATAGCAACCCTATAGGACAGAGTAGAACAGCCCCATGGGGTTTCCAAGGCTGTAATCTTTACAAAAGCAGACTGCCATATCTTTCTCCCATGGAGAGGCTGGTGGGTTTGAACTGCTGACCTTTTGGTTAGTAGCCAAGTGCTTAACCACTGCGCCACCAGAGCTCCATGTCTCAATTTTAAAATAGTGAGGATTTCCCCAGCTATGTTATGAAGTAACAAACACTTCCCCATCCTGGAACATTCATAAGCTGGTCAGGAAACAAAGGTACTACCTTCTTTGCAATTCTGTCCCTGCAACTTCCCACTGTGTTTTCAGGTTTCTTCAGCACCTTGACCGTGTCTTGACACCCAGCTCACCTGCTTTTGAGTCAGGTGCATCTTTTACAACTCCTTGAACTGACTCATCAGAGCTTGTACTTATACTTGGATGCTGTCTAGGTCTTTTGCATCCTGTCAAATTGCCTCACATACTTCCCTGATGATCCCTCTAACTAAACTTGGCCATCTTCATTATGGCCTTCAAGGCACCAAAAGGGCCACTGTGATAAGCCATAAGCAACAGCTTGCTGGCTTCCAAGTGCTCAGCTGGGACTAGAGGGAGAGAGAGTAGTTGAGAACTTGCTTGCTTAGGTTGCAGGGAAGGTTCTCTCCAATTAGGTCCAAGTTTCATGCAATCTCACCACCACAGACTGTGAAAAGTCACAAACCTCTTCAAAGCCTGATAAACATTTCTATTGTAACTATCCAACAACAGGTAGGCAGTGGTATTGGTATTCTCTCTTCCATCACTTGCTATTCAATACGCACAGGGAATTTATTAGTTATTCAGTTCATGTCAAACATTTATAGAGTTTCTAGTATGTATAAGGCACTGTCCTGGGTGTCATATACGTTTCTAATTTTCATAGTGCATCTGTACTTTCTTAAGATGATGTAGCTGGAGAACTGAGAGGTTAAGAAACTTTTCCAAGGTCACAGAGCCTTTTTTAAGCGGCAGGGCAGGAAAGCGAATCCTGTCTGACTTCGGAGTCGGCACCTTTACAATGCCAAGCACCCTCAAAAATCAGTCACATCTTAGTTTTTATCCCCTACAATGCCAAGGAGATGGTGAGCCCTTAATGCCTGCCCACCTTCTCAACAGCTCAGAAGACAAGCTTTAAAACGTCTTTTATTATTCTATCCATATAAAATGAGGTTCCATTCCCAGGATTATGGGTTATACCCATCTCCCAATTTTGTTTTGGGCAGATTCGCAAAGCAAAGTTCCTCGGCTATCCTTCTCCCGACTGAGCTGCTACTCTCTGTTTTCTTTGCCAACATCAGGAAGAGCCTGCAGCTGTCAGCCTGCCCTCCCCTCGACTACCTGATATTCCCGACCTTCCCGAGTATCCCGCTCCCCTTGCCCAGCCTCCCTGCCCAGCCTCCTCCGCCCCTCAGCTGTCCTGGACCGGCAGGGACCCTCACCGGTGGGGACCAGAGGAAGGAGGAAGGTACGGGGAGGCGGGGCCGCGCGGGGACAGCGACCGCCGGGAGCGCGGCCGGCGGCGGGCCCCCAGTTCCACGTGGCGGAGCCAAGGGTTGTGATCTCGGTGGGAGGCCGGGTAGGCGCCACCGGGGAACGAAAGCGGCTGCTGGGGACCCCTCGCCCCGGGAGTCCCCTGCTGGTCCCGGCACCCGGCAGGTGGGCGGGCTCGGCGCCCTTCCTCCACCCTCCCGCAGACAGGACGGCGGCGGCACCGGCCTCCCGCGCTCCCGGGCTGCCCCCCCGTTGCCCCGGAGATGGCTCGGCCTCTCAGCCTGACGGCCAAGCGCCGCCGTCCGGTGCCGGTCCCCTCAGCGCCCGCCGCCGCTACCCGGGCCTACCTTGCTGGTGAGGTCCAGCTCCGGCTCGCCGTTGAGCGCCTCGCCATCTTCGCTGCAGTCCGAGTCGAAGCCGCTGTGGAGCCGGGCGGCGGCCGCCGCGGCGCTGGCCACCCCTGGGGAGCTGGGCTCCGGGGCGAACATAGAGGCTGGAACCGGCGAGTCCATCGGGGTTCGACTCCGGTCCGCCGCCATCTTTAATAACTTAGGCTAATTCGTAGCCGGCTTCCCCTCCCTCCACCGGCTAATTTGCCTAATCTATGCGCGGCTCCGCCCCAAACCTCGTCGGAATAATTTATGCGAAACTTCTCCAGCGGCGTAGAGGGCGACACGTATCTCTAGCGAAGAAACAATCGACCAGGCCTCTCTGCCACCAATCGCTGCAGCCCTTTCAAGTACTGAATGAATAATTAATAAGGCCCAAACCCCAACAACAAATGTCTGAGACGTCACGCGCCTTGATCCCAGCTTGGGCGGGGCAGTACGGTGCCCACGCTACCTGCCTGGAGCTTTCCCGCCAACGGGAGCAGAGGAGAGGATGACTGACACTGCAGCCATCCAATGAAGAGAGAAATAGACACAACGTTTCCCCTCACCGCCCCTTCACTCTCCTCGTTTCCAGAGGCGGTGCTCTACTTCCAAATGTTGCTGCGAAACAGTCGGTGCGAGAGCCTTCCAAAGATGGACGGGAGCAAAACCCAATCATATCATCAAGTAGGTCCCGCGCCTCGGGCCGCCGCTCCAGGAGATAGTAAACTGCAACACGAGCCTCCTCTACAACTGAGGGCAGTCACTGGAAGACCAATGCCGACGTGCTGGCCATCTCCAGCCAATGTTAATAGTAGAATCGATACCATATATTCCAAAAGATGTAATACTATAGCAGCCAGAGCGAGACAATTAATTAAACGCTGACCTTAGGGAGAATTCTCCATTCACTGCCTGTGCAGAGAGAGCAATTACAAGAACAAAAAACAGAGGCAACCACCTATAATACGATAGAAGCCAAAACCACCTCACATTTGTGGTGAACAGCTAGCCTGAGATCTAGGATCTGTTAAGGTAGTTTCCTACAGATGATTCTTCCAGAGTGTCAGCAATGATGGAAAGCCCCAATTCAAAAGACCATCAGCACAAGTTTTAGCGTCTTGAATTCCTATTTCAAAAGTCTGAAAAGCCTAGACCTTCACTGCTTGGTGAAATTTAGAGATTAGTCAAGGTCTCATAATACTGTCCTTGGCCGGTGTTACGCAGCAAGTAAAAGCAGCAATTTCGGAAGGTTAACATACCCAAGAAGATTTAGGGTTTGGACCACAGGATTTAGCGAGCAAGAGGCAGGATTCGAAATGGCCTTCAGTTTCAAGAATCTACCTGAAAGAGAAAAAAAATTCAAGCCTCAAGTTGCAATACTGAAGGATTCTATGGGCAAAATACTGAACGATGTAGGAAGCATCAAAAAGAGATGAAAGGAGGAAGCATCAACAGAAGATGGAAGGAATACACAGAGTCACAGTACCAAAAAGAACTGGTTGACATTCAACTGTTTCAGGAGACAGCATACGATCAAGAACCCATGGTGTTGAAGGAACAAGTCCAAGCTGCGCTGAAGGCATTCGGGAAAAACAAGACTCCAGGAATTGACAGAATAACAACTGGGATGTTTCAACAAACTAGTGTAGCGCCGGAAGCGCTCACTGGTCTATGCCAAGAAATTTGGAAGATAGCTGCATGGCCAATCAACTGGAAGAGATCCATATCTGTGCCTGTCTAATAACCCTAGGGAAACCCTGGTGGCATAGTGATTAAGAGTTCAGCTGCTAACCAAAAGGTGAGCAGTTCAAATCCAGCAGGCGCTCCTTGGAAACCCTATGGGGCAGTTCTACTCTGTCCTATAGGGTGGCTATGAGTTGGAATCAACTTGACGGCAATGAGTTTGGTTTTTTTATTAACCCTAGGAGCCCTGGTAGCACAGTGCTTAAGCCAAAAGGCCTGCAGTTCGAATCCACCAGTGACTCCTTGGGAACCCTATGGGGCAGTTCTACTCTGTCCTATATGGTCACAATAAGTCGGAATCGACTCGACGGCAACGGGTTTGGTTATTTTTTAGTTTATTCCAAAAAAGGGGCCCTGGTGGTGCAGTGGCTGCTAACCAAAAGGTCGGCGGTTTGAATCCACCAGCAGCTCCTTGGAAACCCTATGGGGCAGTTCTATTCTGCCCTATAAGGTGGCTATGAGTTGGAATTGATAGCAACGGGTTTGGTTTTGGTTTTATTCCAAAGAAAGATGATACAACAAAATGTGGAAATTATCAAACAATATCATTGTCACACACAAGTAAAATTTTGATGGAGATCATTCAAAAGTGGTTGCAGCAGTACATTGACAGGGAACTGCCAGAAATTCAAGCTGCATTCAGAAGAGGACGTGGAATGAGGGATATCATTGCTGATGTCACATGGATCTTGGCTGAAAGCAGAGAATACCAGAAGGATGTTTATTTGTCTTTTATGAACTACGCAAAGGCATTTGACTGTGTGGATCATAACAAATTATGGATAACACTGAAGAATGGAATTCCAGAACACTTAATTGTGCTTATACGGAACCTGTACACAGACCAAGAAGCAGTCATTCGAAAAGAACAAGGGGATACTGCCAGGTTTAAAATTAGGAAGGGTATGTGTCAGAGTTGTATCCTTTCACCATACTTACTCAATCTGTATGCTGATCAAATCATCCAAAAAGACAGACTATATGAAGAAGAACATGGCATCAGGATTGAAGGAAGACTCATTAATAACCTGCAATATGCAGATGACACAACCTTGCTGCTGAAAGTGAAGAGGACTTAAAGCACTTACTGATAAACATCAAAGACTACAGCCTTCAGTATGGATAGCCCCTCAAAATAAAGAAAACAAAAATCCTTACAACTGGACCAATAAGCAACCTCATGATAAACAGAGAAAAGACTGAAGTTGTCAAGGACTTCATTTCACTTGGATCCACAATCAACGCCCATGGAAGCAGCAGTCAGGAGATCAAATGAAGTATTGCATTGGGCAAATTTGCTGCAAAAGACCTCTTTAAAGTGTTAAAAAGCAAAGATGTCACCTTGAGGAATAAGGTGTACCTGACCCAAGCCATGATATTTTCAATCACCTAATATGAATGCAAAAGCTGGACAATGAATAAGGAAGACTGAAGAATAACTGATGCCTTTGAATTATGGTGTTGGCAAAGAATACTGAATATACCACGGACTGCCAGAAGAACAAACAAATCTGTCTTGAAAGAAGTACAGCCAGAATGCTTCTTAGAAGCAAGGATGACAAGACTTCATCTAACATACTTGGGACATGTTATCAGGAGGGACCAGTCCCTGGAGAAGGACATCATGTTTGCTAAAGTAGAGGGTTAGCGAAAAAGAGGAAGACCCTCAACGAGATGAACTGACACAGTGATTTCAACAATAGGCTCAGGCATAGCAATGATTATGAGGATGGTGCAGGACGAGGCAGTGTTTCGTTCTGCTGTACGTGGGGTCGCTGAGTCGGAACCGACTCCACGGCACCTAACAACAACATCCTCTATACATATAGGAACCCTTGTGATGCAATGGTTAAGCGCTTGGCTGCTAACGGAAAGGTCAGTGGTTGGAACCCACTAGCCATTCCAACTAGAAAAAGATGTGGCAGTCTGCTTCCGTAAAGATTATAGCCTCGGGTGAAAAGACAAGCTATCAGCTGGGAGAACATCTTCAGAAACTATACATCTGATAAGAATCTAATAATAAAAATATATCTAAAACTTCAACAACTTAACAAAAAGGATAAATAACTCAATCATAAAATGGGCAAAGGATTTGAATAGACATTTCACCAAAGAGGACATTCAAATGGCCACCAAACGGAGGGCTGTGGGCACCAAGGTCTCAGGGAACATCTAGCTTAATTGGCATAACATAGTTTATAAATAAAATGTTCTACATTCTACTTTGGTGAGCAGCGTCTGCAGTTTTAAAAGCTTGTGAGCAGCCATCTAAGACATTCCACTGGTCTCAGCCCGTCTGGAGCAAGGGAGAATGAAGAAAAACAAAGACACAAGGGAAAGATTAGTCCAAAGGACTAATGGACCACGACTACCACAGCCTCCACCAGACTAAGTCCAGCATAACTAAATGGTATGGGTTACCACCACCAACTGCTCTGACAAGGATCACAATAGAGGGTCTCAGACAGAGCTGGAGAAAAATATAGAACAAAATTCTAACAACAACAACAAAAAAAAAACAGACTTACTGGTCCGACAGAGACTGGAGAAACCCCGAGAGTATGGCCCCCGGACACCCTAACAGCTCAGTGATGAAGTCATTTCTGAGGTTCACCCTTCAGCCAAAGATTAGACAGGCCAATAAAACAAAATGAGACAACAGGGCAAGGATGAGAAGGCAGGAGGGGACAGGAAAGCAAGTAATGGGTAAACCAAGGTCGAGAAGGGGAGAGTGTTGACATGTTGTGGGGTTGGCAACCAATGTCACAGAACAATATGGGTATTAATTGTTTAATGAGAAGCTAGTTTGCTCCGTAAACCTTCATCTAAAGTACGAATAACAAAAAAAAAAAAAAAAAAAGCCACCAAACACATGAAATTAGCCATCAGAGAGATTCAAATCAAAACCACAATGAGACACCATTTCACTCCCAATCGGATGGCTAAGATAAAAAAAAAAAAAAAGAAAGAAAGAAAACAGCACATGTTGTCGAGGACGTGGGGAAATTGGAACCCTTAACCATTGCTGGTGGGAATGCAAAATGCTATAGCCCTTGTGGAAAACAGTGTGGAGGTTCTTAAAAAAACTAAGACTAGAACTACCGTATGAACCAGCAATTCCACTCCTAAGTATATACCCAAAAGACCTGAAAGCAGAGACTCAGACTTGTACACCAGTGTTCATTGTAGCACTATTCACAATAGCCAAATGGTGGAAACAACCTAAATGCCCATCAACAGATGAATAAACAAAATGTGGTACATACAATTGAAAACTACTCAGCCAGTAGGAGAAATGATGTCTTGATATTTGCTACAATATGGACAGAGCTGGAAAACATTATGCTGAGTTAAATAAGTTAATCACAAAAGGACAGATATTGTATGACCTCACTTATATAAAAAGACAAGAGCAGGCAAATGTATAGAGACTAGAGTTTGTTAGTTGTTACCAGGGAAGGGAGAGAGGGGGAAAGGGGGTGGTTAACGGTGATGGAAAAATCACACTGATTAAGGGTAGGTTTGCACAGCCGATTATTGTAATTGCTGTCAAGTCGCACACCTATAAAAAGTAGAATTGGCAAAAGTTGTGAGATATATTTACAACAATGACCAAAAAAAAAAGCAGGGGGTGGGGGTAGCTGCTGAGGCTGCTTATGTACAACCAAACACCTCGTGGGATTTGGTTTCTTGGTTTAGAGGTTTAGGGTCCTGGTTTAATGGGACATCCTAGTTAATTGGCCTAATATGTTTAGTGCTTCTGATATATGTCCTAGTTCATTAAGTAGAGCCTGGGGTCTTAAAAGCTTGCCAGCGGCCATCCAAGGTACAACAACTGGTCTCTATTTGCCTGGAGCAAGAGAAGAAGAAGAGTCAGAAACAGGAGGAGAATATGGAATGTGTAGCAAATTGCCTTCATGAACAACTGCCACCTTTGCCATGAGACCAGAACTGGATGGTGCCCAGCTACATTTGATCAAGGATTCTATAGAGTAATCGTGATCAAAAGGGGAAAAATGCAAACAGAATTTCAAATTCTCAAGGACTCCAGAGTTTCTGGAGCCAGGAACACTGGATGAATCCCTCAAACTATTGCCCTGAGGTCATCTTTAAACCTTAAACCAAAAACATCCCCTGAAGGCAGAGAGGGTCAGGAGCTGGTTGAATGGACACAGGAAATCCAGGGTGGAAAGGAGTGTGCTGTCACAGTATAGGGAGAGCAACTAGGGTCATATAACAATGTATGTATAAATTTTTGTATGAGACTAACTTGAATTGTGACAATTAAAACAAACAAAAAACAATCCCCTGAAGTCTTAACACCAAACAATAGTTCAGCTAAACTAGTTAAAAAAAAAAAGTCTGCCTTGAGCATTATGCTTTTTTAATAACTATCTACATGGAATCAAACTGACAACAGCAACTTGAAAGAGTAGACGGGAATCTTAGGGGGCAGAGTTTATGTTAATGGTGGAGGAACAATTCAGAAAAGGAGGATAAGAATGGGTGAACAATTCAAAGAATGTAATCAGTGTCACTGAATTGTACATGTAGAAACTTTTGAATTGGTGTATGTTTTGATGTGAATATTCTCAAGAACAACAAAAATTACAGCCTGGAAACCCTGTGGGGCAGTTCTACTTTGTCCTATAAAGTTTCTAGGAGTTGGAATTGACTTGACAGCAGTGGGGTTGGTTGGATCCTCTATATGAAGGAGCTCTGGTGGCGCAATGGTTAAGTGCTTGGCTACTAACTGAAAGTTTGGAGTTCGAACCCACCCGGCGGCTCTATGGGAAGAAGACCTGACAATCTGCTTTCATAAAGATTACAGCCAAGAAAACCCTGTGGGGTAGTTCTATTGTCACACAGAGTCATTATGAGTTGGAATCGACTTGAAATAACAATCCTCTATATGGAGTCCCTGGGTGGCTCAAATGGTTACACGCTTGGCTGTTGACCCAAAGGTTGGCAGTCTGAGTCCAGCCAGAGGGACCTCAGAAGAAATACCTGGCAATCTGCTATCAAAAAAATCAGCCATTGAAAGCCATACGGAACATAGTTCTACTCTGACACACATTGGGTCGCCATGAGTCAGAATCAACTTTTTTGACAGCAACTGGTTATCCCCTATATTCATCTATCCTGTCCCATGAAGCAGTGAAAATATTGAGGTTTGTCAGAAAAGTCATCTAGGTTGATAGTTAGCATCTACCCACTAGTTCTTCCAGAAAGAGTTTAAGTTCAGAACGTGCTGACACTTGAGGCTAGGCTAAAAAACCATGCTTTTCCTCTATAGGGCTTTGCCCAGAAAATACATTCTCAGAGTAGGTGCTTCTTGAATTGAATAAGGAAGTCCAAAATCACATTTTAGAGGAAATTCCCTACCTATCTTTACATACTGTTTTCTGAAGACAGGTTAGAGCCTAGGTTTGAATTCTGGATCCACTACTCAGGAGCTATGTGACCTCTGAGCTTCAGTTTCCTCTTCTAAAAAAATGAAGTACTTACCTCCTAGGATGTTGTTGTCATGTGCTGTCGATTCCGGCTCATGGTGACACTATAGGTCAGAGTAGAACTTCCCCATAGGGTTTCCTAGGCTGTGACCTTTCAGGGAGATTGCCAGGTCTTTTCTCCTAAGGAGCTGCTGGGTGGGTTCAAACCAAAGGCTTTTCGATTAGCAGCAGAACAGTTAACTATTCCGCCAAAAGGGCTCCTTATCTCATAGGATAAAATCTGTTGCTGTCCAGTCGATTTCGACACATAGTGAACCTACAGGACAGAGTAGAACTGCCCCATAGTGTTTCCAAGGAGCAGCTGGTGGATTCGAACTGCCAACCTTCTCGTTAGCAGCTGAGCTCTTAACCACTGCGCCACCAGGGCTCCACCTCATAGGATAAAACCCAAAACCAAACCCGTTTTGCCGAGGAGTCAATTCTGACTCATAGCGACCCTATAGGACAGGGTAGAACTGGCCCATAGGATTTCCAAAGAGTTGCTGATGTATTTGAACTGCCGGCCTTTGTTTAGCAGCCAAGCTCTTAACCCCAGAGCCTCCAGGGCTCCCCTCATAGGATAGTTATCAATAAATCGGTCAGTGTATGTAAAGAGGTTGGAACAGAGATTGTAGCACGGCAAATCCTCCATAACTAATCTTGCATAAATATAGCTGTAACCCTTAGGTGGGCTTACGCTTTACAAAAATTTAATGAGAGGATTTCAAAGTTGTCTGCTTCATGGGAGAAGACCTCCCGACAGCGTGGTAGGCACGCAAGCGTATGTCGAGTGGTAACAGTGTTGAGTGTAATGGCGTTAACTGACGTGCTGAAGCAGAATTAAAAAAATGACTGAATTGCAAGCGTGATTCCTTCTTTTATTGTTTTTTTTTTTTCAGTTTTCTGTACAAAAATTCAAAAGGGCAGCTAATATGGATAATGAATATTTACTCTGATGCTTTCCACATGTCCTAAGGGAAGATAAAGGGAAAAAATTAAACCCGCGGGAGATTGCAAAGTAGTTCAAATTCCTCTCACACAATGCGCTTTGACAGGCCTTGAGCAAACGAAAAAGCTCCGTGGCAACCACCAAGCGATCCGTGGAGAGCCCCAGGTGGAGAGATCTCTGCGCAGCGAGCCGAAATTCGACACCAAGGAACTGAAACGTACTCCAGGCGAGGCACTTACCCTCAGCGCTGCCTGGAGAGTGCGGGGCGGTGGGTGCCCCTTACCAAGAAATTTTCGCCGGACGGCGTCAATAAAGTGCTTTGAAATCACCTAGCGAACGGCGCGTTAGACAAACAAAATGTCAACAGAGGAACAGCGACCCGAGGTTAGCGAAAGCACTTCTGCCCGAGAAGCCCGGCCAAGAGCGAGGAGAGGGGTGGAAGGAGCCCCGAAGGACTGCCGCAGGCGGGGTCCCCACCCCCGAACGGCGCCGAAGTAGCGAGGTGGGGGACCGGAGGCGAGGCGGGCTTTCGCAGGCGCCACACCCCTGACCAGCCCCGGAGGCAGTAGCGCTGAGGAGGGAGACTCCGGCCCGGAGGGCCGTCGCCAGACTCCACAGCTCCGCCCTCAGCGACCACCTCGCCTCCGCACCCACACCGTCTGCTGGCCAAAGCCACCCTCGCCCACCAAACGCATGCCTGTCACCGCCCAGACGCCGGCGCCACTGACGTCAAGCTGACGTCGGACGTGACGCTGCGGCAGGGCGGGAGTAGGGCCGACGCAGGAGGGCGTTTCCGGAGCACGCACTGGGCGAGGGCCGCCGAC